GAGGAATGGTATTCCTTGATCCTATTGAGCAGAAAGATCTTATGGGGAGAAGATTCTGCAGAATTCTGGTCACAAGCCCATTGGGGGGGAGTTAAAATGTCAATATTGCACCTTGAATGACACCTGAGGACCAAGTGGTAACCAGCTCCTGAAGCAACAGTGTAATAGAGATTCTATTCTATTCTATTCTATTCTATTCTATTCTATTCTATTCTATTCTATTCTATTCTATTCTATTCTATTCTATTCTATTCTATTCCATTCCATTCCATTCCATTCAATTCCACTCATTCTATTCTGTTCTGTTCTAATTCTATTCTATTCCATTCCATATTTTCTATTCTATTCTATTCTATTCTATTCTATTCTATTCTATTCTATTCTATTCTATTCTATTCTATTCTATCCACCAAATGAAGCTGTGTGAAAGGGCTCTTAGTCACCATGGCCACTCATGTTTCCTGTTCTCTCCTAATTTTCCATGAAGATGGTGGCAATTTTAGCTACGGGCTTTTATTTTGATTACCTTGGAAATTATTTCCTGCTTTTCCCCTTGGCTTCAACATTTCAAATTAGAAATTATTATGTTTTTCTTTCCATTGGTTATAAACCCAGAAATGCAAGGAGAAGATAATCAGTTGTTGTTTATTGTTGTATGTGCACTGAGAGCTGATGCACCGTCCCTTATGTGGCTAATCGCAGTGGGCCAATAAAGAATTGTACGATTCTATGACCTTCAGGGCAAAGGTTCTCTGTAGAAAAGTTTGGGCTGAAATGAGAAGTTTGCTTTCACCCAGGCTCAGATCGCACAAGGGGCGGCTTCTTTAGAGGAGGATCTTCATGAGCAGAAGGGAAGACAGAGCCAGGAGGAAGGATGCCACCGTTTGCTGGGCATTGTCAGGTGTTGTGGTTTCAGCCAATTGGGTAACACTGGGTTTTTCAGTCGACTTGGGTTTTTCGGTAGGGTCGGGTTTTTCAGGGTTAGGGTTAGGGCTAGGGTTAGGGTTAGGATTAGGGTCAGGGTCAGGGTTAGGGTCAGGGTTAGGATTAGGGTTAGGGTCAGGATTAGGGTTAGGGTTAGGGTTTGGGTCAGGGTTAGGATCAGGGTTAGGGTTAGGGTCAGGGTTAGGATTAGGGTTAGGGTCAGGATTAGGGTTAGGGTTTGGGTCAGGGTTAGGATCAGGGTTAGGGTTAGGGTCAGGGTTAGGATTAGGGTTAGGGTCAGGGTTAGGGTTAGGGTTAGGATTAGGGTCAGGATTAGGGTTAGGGTTAGGGTTAGGGTTTGGGTCAGGGTTAGGGTTAGGATTAGGGTTAGGGTCAGGATTAGGGTTAGGGTTTGGGTCAGGGTTAGGGTTAGGATTAGGATTAGGATTAGGGTCAGGATTAGGGTTAGGGTCAGGGTTAGGGTTAGGATTAGGGTTAGGATTAGGGTCAGGATTAGGGTCCGGGTTAGGGTCAGGGTTAGGATTAGGGTTAGGGTCAGGATTAGGGTTAGGGTTTGGGTCAGGGTTAGGATCAGGGTTAGGGTTAGGGTCAGGGTTAGGATTAGGGTTAGGGTCAGGGTTAGGGTTAGGATTAGGGTCAGGATTAGGGTTAGGGTTAGGGTTTGGGTCAGGGTTAGGATCAGGGTTAGGGTTAGGGTCAGGGTCAGGGTTAGGGTTAGGGTTTGGGTCAGGGTTAGGGTTAGGATTAGGGTTAGGGTCAGGATTAGGGTTAGGGTTTGGGTCAGGGTTAGGATTAGGATTAGGATTAGGGTCTGGATTAGGGTTAGGGTTTGGGTCAGGGTTAGGGTCAGGGTCAGGGTTAGGGTTAGGGTTAGGGTCAGGATTAGGGTTAGGGTTTGGGTCAGGGTTAGGATCAGGGTTAGGGTTAGGGTCAGGGTTAGGGTTAGGATTAGGGTCAGGATTAGGGTTAGGGTTAGGGTTTGGGTTAGGATTAGGGTTAGGGTCAGGATTAGGGTTAGGGTTTGGGTCAGGGTTAGGGTTAGGATTAGGATTAGGGTCAGGATTAGGGTTAGGGTTTGGGTCAGGGTTAGGGTCAGGGTTAGGGTTAGGATTAGGGTCAGGATTAGGGTTAGGGTTAGGATCTGGGTTAGGGTCAGGGTTAGGATTAGGGTCAGGATTAGGATTAGGGTTAGGATTAGGGTCAGGATTAGGGTTTGGGTCAGGGTTAGGGTTAGGATTAGGATTAGGGTCAGGATTAGGGTTAGGGTCCGGGTTAGGGTCAGGGTTAGGATTAGGATTAGGGTCAGGGTCAGGGTTAGGGTTAGGGTTAGGGTCCGGGTTAGGGTCAGGGTTAGGATTAGGATTAGGATTAGGATTAGGATTAGGGTCAGGGTCAGGGTTAGGGTTAGGATCAGGGTTAGGGTTGGGGTCAGGGTTAGGGTCAGGATTAGGGTCTGGGTTAGGGTTAGGGTTTGGGTTAGGGTTAGGGTTAGGGTTAGGGTCAGGTTTAGGTTTAGGTTCAGGGTCAGGGTTAGGGTTAAGGTTAGGGTTAGGGTCAGGGTTTGGGTTATTGTTAGGTTCCACAGGAGGAGGAGGGTCCACGCGAAGGTTGGCAGCCCTTGATTTTGGTCGACTGAAGACTTCAGCTAGGAATCGGTTTTCAGGCAATTCATTGCTCCAATTCTCCGGCGCTTTGAATTCTTTACTTTTCATCTTTCCAGCTGGTGAAGAACTACATTCAATTTTCATATTCACTTTTATAAAGGAGTATTCTTTGCTGCTCCCAAGACACTTGGAGGAATGATAGCAGGACTTTATTGTTGTAAAGCTAGTCACTTTTCCTAGATAGGAGCATTCAAGAGAAGCAATCATGGAAACGGCAACTGAGATTAACTGTTACCCCAACTTTATCCAACTGGAATCCCTAGAAATTATTTAGAGCAGGGGTATCCAACCTTGGGCAACTTTAAGACTTGTGGACTTCAACTCCCAGAATGCTGGCTGGGGAATTCTGGGAGTTGAAGTCCATAAGTCTTAAAGTTTCCCAAGGTTGGATATCCCTGATTTAAAGCTTGCAATATCTCTGTTATCAGCCATAGCCACCAAGGAAAACTTCACGTCATTGAATTTATCCATCCTTTCTCAGGAAAGGTTCATAATAACTCAGGAAGAAAGCAGATGCTTTGCCTGGAGAAAATCTTTTGCAATTTGGAGTGAGGAAAATTGGTTTATTGAGTAAAAAACAGATTTCTGAGCTTTGGATAAAAGGGGAGGGTGGGCACTTGCTGGCCAAAAACTCACCTATTTTGGTTTCAGTTAGTATGGTAGCACAAGTATCCTGGTCTGGTCCACACAGCTCTAATTGGCCAGTACAGTCTTCCTTAAAGCCAGAACAACTTTCACACTCTAGACAAGTTCCTAGAAAAAAAAGTTGAGAAAGAAAAAGGTTCATAATGTATTACGGATGTTCAGTAGATTAGATCAAATGTGGTAAAGAGCCAAAAGTATCGTTAAATCTGTGGGCTTTCTGAAAATAGCAATAGCACTTAGACTTATATACCCCTTTACGGTATTTTACAGCCTTCTCTAAGTGGTTTATTGCCCTCTCTAAGCATAGAGCACCCCAAAGCACCCCAAAGCATTGAGGCCTTTGAACTATGGTACTGGAGAAGACTCCTATGAATCTCCTGGACTGCAAGGCAATCAAACCGGTCAGTCCTAGAGGAGAACAACCCCGACTGCTCTTTAGAAGGCCATATCTTGAAGTTGAAACTCAAGTTCTTTGGCCACCTAATGAGAAGGAAGGACTCACTGGAGAAGAGCCTGATGCTGGGAAAGATGGAGGGCAAGAGAAGAAAGGGACGACAGAGAATGAGGTGGCTGGATGGAGTCACCGAAGCAGTAGGCGTGAGCTTAAATGGACTCCAGAGGATGGTAGAGGAAGGAAGGCCTTGAGGAACGTTGTCCATGGGGTCGCGATGGGTCAGACCCGACTTCACAACTAATAACAAAGCATATTACCCCCAATAATCTAGGTCTTCATTTTACCGACCTCGGAAGGATGGAAGGCTGAGTCAACCTTGAGCCGGTCAGGGTCAAACTGCTGGCAGTGGGCAGACCTAGCCTGCAATACTGCGTTCTAGCTGAATTCTTATAGAATTCCCAATTCTCTAACCGTTTTGTCTCAAACTGGATATATGTCGCCTTTCCGAATATTCTAATATTTCTTTCTAGACAAACAAGTGTCTGACCCAGGCTTTTTTCTATGCCTGTTTATGATTTATTCATTTATTAAATTTATGTCACATTGATAGACACATTAAAGCAATAATGCAGATCCCACGTCAAATTGATGTGCTCCATTTCAGTTGAAATCGCTATCAAGTATTATTGAAAATATCAAGGTGTGCCCCAAATTAAACTACTTTTTACCATTAGTGTACCAATATATACCATTTCTCGGGGAAATAGTTTTACTGGTTTAGATAATTGCTGCCTAGACATCAGGAAACAAAAGACAATAAATTGCAAGGGTCATTTATGCTTAATCTAGTAGCTGAATAAGCAAAAATACAACTAACAAAGGCCAATAAACTATTAATATCTACCTAACCAAAACTTAGAAGTCAAGAGTAAATGACTGGATTTTTTAAAGCCCTATCTCAGTTGTAGACCATTAGTGAGATATGGAAAGTGCTTATTTCACCCTGTGCTCCATTACACACATGCACACACACACACACACAAACCACATGAGCTTAGATTGGCCTGACTCTGCTGGCTTTCCATAAAACCTAAAGATATGGTGATGCACTGACTTGAGGATCCAGATGTATGGCTGAGTTCTGTAGTGGTTGTATGTACAGTATGATCTTTTGTTGATAATTCATATATATATATATATATATATATATATATATATATATATATATATATATCCTTAATGGTTATAAAAATACGAATCCCGGGCATATTTTTTCAATGATGCAATCTTCGATCTCCGGTAAAAGTATACTCCAGTTATTTATTGTTAAAACAACATTTAAAACAATAAAAACAGTTATATACAAGATTAAAACAACTTACCACAAATTATGCAGTCGAGTTTCCCGCATTTGGGGAAATCGCAGGGGTCAGCACACCCGGAGTGCAATGGATGAGCCTCACCCTGGGAAAACCTCCTTCGTGATCAAGGTGTCTCCCTTGCCATGCGGGAAACTCGACTGCATAATTTGTGGTAAGTTGTTTTAATCTTGTATATAACTGTTTTTATTGTTTTAAATGTTGTTTTAACAATAAATAACTGGAGTATACTCTTCCCGGAGATCGAAGATTGCATCATTGAACAAATATGCCCGGGATTCGTATTTTTATAACCATTAAGGATATATATATGTGTGTGTGTGTGTGTGTGTGTGTGTGTGTGTGTTTTCTGAGGTTTTCGCGGGTGTTTGTATGTAGGTCTTTGGTTGTTCGGGTTTTCTCCCGCGTAAAATTGGAAGTGTCTTGGCGACGTTTCGACGAAGTCCCATTCATCATCTTCAGGCTGGGTAGATAAATGGAATAATAAATAAATAAAGCCACATGACACTGAGTTTCTTCTACAGGATATCAATGAATATTCTGGGGATGGTTTGCTAGTGGCTCAATATTAGCCAAGAAGCCTTTTGCATCTTGAAAACAGGAAGGACAAAAATGTCCCTCTGGAAGGAAATGAAACCTTCTCTTGCTTCTGGGTTTCAAGAAGCAACTCAGTAGAAGGTTTTCCTAGTGAGAAGGCTTAGCAAAAGGATCGAATCTGGCCTGTATCACTAGGCAGAACCATGATGCTCTGGGTCCCACCCATTAAGCAGTGTCACCTGATGGAGCCTAGAAAGCATTTAGGATCTTCTCTGTTGCAGACCCTGCTCTCTCGAACATCCCTTTTTTTGCTATATACAAATAATTCAAAAATGCCAAATCCAATCTATACATCTGGCTGACTGGGCAACTGACCATAATATAACAACAGCAATGAAGGGGAGGAGGAGGAGGAGGAGGAGAAGAAAGAAAGAAAGAAAGAAAGAAAGAAAGAAAGAAAGAAAGAAAGAAAGAAAGAAAGAAAGAAAGAAAGAAAGAAAGAAAGAGGGAGGAAAGATAGGAGGAAGGGGAGAAGTAAGTAGGAAGGTTGAGGAGAAGGAGGAGAGGGGGAGAGTGAGGAAGAAGAGGGAAAGAGGGAAGTGAGAGAAGAGGTTAGAGGGTGGATGCAGTTTGGGGGGAAATGGGTGAGCAATACCGAAAGTTGTGTGTATAAATTTATTTTACTCTTTATCTGAAGTATTTTTTATGATGTAATGTAAAATCGAAAATAAAAATTTTATACAAAAAAAAAGAAAGAAAGAGGGAGGGAAGGGAGGGAAGGAAAGAAAAAAGAAAGAGAAAGAAAGAAAGAAAGAAAGAAAGAAAGAAAGAAAGAAAGAAAGAAAGAAAGAAAGAAAGAAAGAGCTTTCATTCCTGATCATAACCCCAATTCTAAAAAGCTGTGTCTTTCCCCAGGCATTGGATTAATGTGAGTGTTGAGTCCTACAAGCTTGGTCATCTTCTAATGGATGTTTTTCTTCTGGCATTTGAATGGAGTTGGTCAGCCTTATAAATTTCTACAATTAATAACTCAGTGCCCATCGGAATGGGTTGGATGGTGCCACTGAGCACTTAATGCAATTTTTCACTTGGAGCGAAACCATCCATGGAAGCCTAACGTTGAAGGATGATAGGCAGAATAGATCTACGATTTCATTAATAAAATGCCACAACCTGAATCCCTTCTAGGTCCAACTTTTTTTCTGTATCCACCTGGCTGGTTTCATGTTGAGGCAATTATAGCTTTTCCCCACCAAAAGGTTAGCAGTTACAATGTGGTTTCATCCCATGGAGTTCAACCTTTCCACCTGGGCATCTATGCGCATCTGTTCTCACCTGTAGCAAGAAGCAATGAGAAAGAGAAGAGTCCCACGAGAGCCTGCATGCTGATTTGGTTGCCTGAACCGATGTTCTAGAAGAAACTTCTGCAAAGACAAACAAAAATAAAACCATTACTGAATAAGTATGAGCCATGTGACAGTTCTTGACTTATGACTGCTCACTTAGTGGCCATTTTAAGTTATGATAGACCTACCCAGGAGTACTTGTGACTTAGTTCTGAAGTTCTGATGGCTGACCTTCCCCCCCACCCCCCACTCCTTGGAGACACATGACCACATTTCAGGCTCTTGGCAACTGGCCTCCATTTATGACCAAGATGGGTAAGCTCCATTATAGTCGTAAGTGAAGGACTATCTGTACAGCAGTTAGCAAAATATGATTTTAACCTGGGAAAAGAAGAGGAACATTACAAACAAACGCAAACTGGTTCCACTCTCACTTAGCCTATCAAAAATTTGTTTTAAAGGCACTGTAGAATTATGGATTGATTTAAGGATTAAGATTTAGAAGTAAGAGAAAAATGGGTGATTATTAGAATATATATATTAAATAGATTAAGAATTTCCTGACCTGGCCTACCTTGAAGGATTGACATATTTGGGGAGATTTAGGGGGAGATTAAATAGCAAATCAGGTGTGTGAGCCTCTTGAAGATTTGGCACATCTGTTTTCTAACACTGGTGGAAATAAATGACAAAAAGACTTGTTCTCCAGTGAAAAACACGAAAGCCACCATTTTGCAAATCTGCAATTCCCGATCTGCAAAATGGCGGCTTTCACGTTTTTTATAGGACTTGTTTTTAATTAACAGGAACTATGATCCGAGAAGGTTTTCAAATGCTCAGCATGCAGCAAAGTCAATCCTTCAAATATTCTAGAATTATCTTTCATTTGTGAAGATTTTGGAAGCAACAAATTGCATCTGCAAAAGCTGAAGCACAAGAAAAGAATGTTAGTTTCCCCCCCCCTTCTCCTTTAAAGGAAAGAAACTCAAGCAGATGCTACCTGCCTTCCATGTTTATGTATATATAAAATAGTCTATTCAGGGAAAGTTGCTTTTCTCAAATTTTTAAAAACCTGATTCCAGATCTCTAGAATCATCTGAAACACATCTCTCCATCTCTGTAGAAACCTAGGCTCATATTTCTTCTCAATATCTTGATTCAATATCCTCCTTCAGGTCTTTTGGAGGAGAAGAACTGTCATTTCTCTTAACCAGTGGTTTTTGTTTTTTTTTTGTTAAAAAAAAAAAAAGGTGCCGGAACTCACACACGTCATACAACCCATCTTGCCTACCCTACAAGGTTCCATCCAAAAAAGGTGCTGGAACTCCATTCTGGGTGTTCTATGACAAAAAAAGCCCTGCTCTTAACCAGATGGATCTGTTCTTGCACAGTTGGAGAAATTGATTCAGTTATCACGTAAGGTTCTGGCTACCTGTTTTGTTTTCCTAGCGCTCTTATCATTTCTCTACTAAACAGATGCTCAGCTAAGCCCATTAATCATTCCTTCTGCTTTTTATCTAGTGCTGTTAAGTGATAAAGAAGTTACATCAGGCTACATCGCAAATGATTACAAATATAAAATTCTCTGTTGATGGATAAAGCTAGGGTTTTCAAGGGGACGTTCCAATTACTATTTTTCCTCTCTTTTCCTAATAGGAATGATTTTGAGCTGAAGCAGTACAGCAATTAAGAGGATGGACTAGAGAGATCTAGTCCTCTCCTGCCCACAGGCACACCCACCGCCTCCACGGCACACCACAGCAGATCGCCCAGGTGGCCCACCAGCGTCATGGCAGCCGCGCCCTCTGTCCGTTCCCTGCAGCATCATTTGCATGTGATGGGGCCCAAGGGTGGAGTCTTGTCCCCACTGCCCAGCTGCCATGTGCTTGGCTGTGCCCGGGGCACAGCCCGGGGTGACTCTCCTCCTGGAGGGCTGCTAGTGAGGAGGGAGCAACAGGGTGGCGGGGCTGGGGCAATGGCGTGCGTGCCCACAGAGAGGGCTCTGAATGCCATCTCTGGCACACATGCCATAAGTTCACCACCACTGCCCTATACCATTTCAGACAAGTGGCTGTCCAATCTTTTCTTAAAAACCTCCAGTGATGGAGTACCCACAACTTCTGGAGGCAAGTCCTTCCACTGATTAATTGTTCTCACTGACAGGAATTTTTTTCCTAGTTCTAGGTTGCTTCTCTCCTTGATTAGTTTCCATCTGTTGCTTCTTGTCCTGGCTTCAGGTGCTTTGGAGAATAGATTGACTCCTTCTTCTTGTGGCAACCCCTGAGATATTAGAACACTGCTATCATGTCATTCCTAGTCTTTCTTTTCATTAAACTAGATATATTCTATTCTTGCAACCGTTCTTCGTTTATGTTTTAGCCTCCAGTCCCTGAATCGTCTTTGTTGCTCTTCTCTGTACTCTTTCTAGAGTTTCAACATCTTTTTTATATTATGGTGACCAAAACTGGATGCGATATTCCCTGTGTGATCTTACGAAGGCAAAAATAATGCCATTTTGATATGTGTACAGGATTGCAAGCTGGCCAAAGAATGAGATGGATGGCATATCAATGTGAACAATATAAATAATCTCTTTCAGATTAAAATAGAAACCAAACCAGTCTCCTATCCCTTCTAATTTAAACCAGCATGCGCTCTGATCAATATTTGCAGCTGAGGCTTGAAAATGGCCTTCTAACTGTGGTCCAATTTTAAGTGAATCTTCCTGGTGGGTTAATCTGCTCTAAAAAATCAGAATGCGAAACTCCATTGGCAGTTCTGCTTTTTTATATTTAAACATGACCATATGAGTATTTCGTGCGAGTAATATCGTATGATGCATATTTAATACGATTTGTTGAATTTAAATATAGATCAGTTTAAAAATAAGAGAGGGAGGATTAATGAAGAAAAGAGAATACAGCAGTGGGATGCTCCGTCCGGTCCTAATAAAAATTGATAATGAAATCCGCAGTTGTACACAAAATGCTATAGAACGACTAATACGAAGAAAAAGATCAGAAAAAGAAGATTCGGAATTCCCTACTGGAAAGGGACCACTTACTTTGAGTTTTCCCAGGTGACCCTGAGGTGCTTCTGAGTCAGGAGAAGACAAGTTGTCCTTCAGTTTACTGGAGAATCGCTCTTTGTCGCCCAGCTTTATAGATGTGGGAAAAGCTTTATCATAACCGGAAGCACTTTTATTTTTTCCCCCTGCACACCTATGCCACAGTCCATATTACAACTTGAGCG